GGCTCGTCCTCGTTCGGGTGCTTGGAACCTCGGATTCGTCGAGTTTAGCTGATTGAGAGACACACACACACACACATATACACACTACCTTGGAGCGGGATACGTTGAAACTGCGGATCGTGAAGAATTCGATTGTCTATCAAGGTTTATGTAAATGGCCACTTGTACTACTATCACATAGCATGGGACGTGGAAAAAGAAATTATCGTTACATTACAGCGAGATCCATTCCACTTTGTGATCTCTAAAACGAGAAATGAAAATAACTACCTACAGGGTTCGAAGCACGAGTTCACCGACTGTGAAACGAAGTTACTAGAGTTCAAGCGACGCGAGAGCCCGGTCCAAGGTAGAGGTTCTCCGATAAAAAGAAACGACCGCCACGAGAGACCGGGAAACAATAATCTCCGCTCGGAAGTCTCTACTCTCGTAGTCCAAGCACCCATCAAGTGGCGAGAGAGAGAGAAGGGAGGAGGGAGAGGGAGGGGTGGCTCTCTCGACTTTCCACTTCGTTCCGAGCAATTTGCAGGAAACAAAAAAGGGCACGGTGTCTGCTCGAGACACCGTCAAACATTTACCGCTAAAGCTAATATTTATTTTAACCAGGAGGAGAAAGAAGGAACGACGGAGAAGAACAAGGGCTCGGGGAACGCGACGATTCAGCGACGGCGGTGGTGATCTTGGAACGGTGACCAAGGACGGTAGGAGAACTGGGGCCTACCTTACGCTTAATTGCCTCGTTAACGCTTTTCAATTACATTCCGAATCGCTGTATCCAGTGTCTTTATTGCTGGACACCTTGGTGACCATTTCTAAACGTGAATTCCCCGGCACGCTTAAACTCGAGATGCAATTTCGCTTGGGGGAAATTAACCGCGGGGAGACCTAGCTGGCGTCACTGGTGTCCCCAACCGAAGTGGCACAACAAGATAGCGGCCATCACGACAATATGGCGGTCGTTTCGACGGTTTCGCGTGGCACGGAGACCAGCCTGGTCCCCCGAGTAACATAAAACGAGCGGCTCGTTCTCAGTCTTCGATAGTCTTGTAAGCAGCGTTATATCGTGCCGTACGAAAATAAATGCGTCGTATGTGAGTTTAGTCAGGGTCGCGGGAATCGCTCGATTGTTTCAGAAATCGCGGCTGAACGTACACTAGCGGCGCCGTTTTGGGAAACTGGTGACACCACTACTGGTGAAGCGCCGCTGGTTGGCCCGGCTTTGAACGCCGTTTGCGAACGTTACACCCTTGAACGTCCCATTTTGAAACCTCGGTACACACACCCTTAATTTGTACTTTAACAATGAGGATTCCTGGTTGATCCTGGTCCAACGCGTTTACGTGCCGCCGTTTCAAAGGACCGACACTAGTTCGACACCGTGGACATACATTAACCCTTAGTAGGCAAACATATTTTTCGACACTCCGTGGGTTAACTGGGTCGTTTATGTGAAAATTCTATTTCTTTTTTTTTTTACTGTGTTAAGCTTTCGGGAAATCTGAAAACATTTTTGTATACATTTGTGTGACGAAGAGAACGAACGAGACACATCGAGACCGAGTAAGATAACGCGAATCGCAGCGATTACAATGTAACCATTGGCCGGTGGGAGCGTCGCAGGCGGGCTCGCGCAGTCGAATCGAGTGGAAAGAAATGTTTTCTCTTTCTGTTTTTCACTTGCTTGTATTTTTCTATGTCGGAACACTACAAAGGCAAGCTGCCGAGGTTCGAGCTACGAGCAAAAAAACAGATTGACGAGGTGCTGACAACTGTCCGTGCTCACCGTAAGTGTGACTCTGCGGAACCGACGCATTCACACTTATCAGGACATTACTGCACTTATCAAAGTCTCTGCTACGTGGTAAAATTGTTGGTTAAGTCAAGTATTAAAGATTTTTGTCGATAAAAAGAAAAATTCGGAGCAAAGCTCGGGAAAAATGGAAAGTCGCTTGGGTCGTCAACGACCCATATTGCCTACGGAGGGTTAATGGGGACACGGTTTCTTGCTTCTCTATCAAGAATTACGCACTCGACGAACGCTCTGTAACGTTTGTAAAGTATGGTGGCGATAGAGAAGAGTGGAAACCGTTTGGGGGTTGTAGTACTTACTGAAATAAAGAAAGAACGTCTCAATATGAACTTGAAGAATTCCAGACTTGGGAGAAATTGTTTCTTGGGGGTACTGTCTTCGGATGTATAAGTCTTTTGGTTCGTTATATTGATACTAATGAATTGGATTACAGACAAATTGCTTCCGACACCGTCGGGATTAATTTGTACTACACTCTTCCAAATGTCTCCACCCTGTGTCTAGATCACTACATAACGCACAGCTGAGCGTTGAAATTGTTTTCTTTTCTTCTTTTAAACTACGGAACTTGTCGATAAAGACACTCTTGCTTGTTAAAGGTTGACGATCCTCGACATGTTTCAGGTACCAGTGAAATTGACGATAGGTTTTGTGTTTCTTTTTGTATCATAATTCTATATTTACTATGTCTAATTCAGCGATATCGTTTGATCATGTTCCGGTTCTCCTTCCCATAAAGGTTTCAGATATAATTCTTTTCCTGAACATGCGTTCGATACAGCGAATCAATCGTTCGCTTTCCGATTCGGTAATCAGTCCACTAGCGACACACTTCTGACATTGAATCTTTAAAGAAGCTTCAATCTTAAACGTTTACCGTAACGATTTACTTTAGAATTGTAAAACACCTTGTTTAATCATGTATATTGTCATCCTCCTTGCTATTTACGATTTAAAAAAATCAATTATCATCCATTGTCTCCTATATTGAGTCGAGAGTAATTTACAATGTTTCGTCGGAATATTCCACATCGACAAAAATAAATCGACAAACCGTCTGAAAGGAGGACTTTAAAAAACGAATTTTTCTGAAACGTAACTAATGCATCCTGTGTATAAACATTGAAATTTCGAAAACAATAACATGGAAACACGGTGCGTAACAACTAATATATATTCTCTTTTGTTTCTATTCGTAATAACCACACGCTACGAAACTTTCGTGAACAAACCACCGTGTGTAAACTGTCCTCTATAAGCTTTCGAAATGGACAGAAACAATTAGTGTTTTATTAACTGTGCTTCAACGACGGCCATTCGAAAACACATTCGAATCCCTACCGCCAATCAACCAAGATGAACACGAAAGCTTACGAGACAACCTTTGTATCTTCCGTATTGCAAGGAATTCTCGAATCCCTTAACGATATTAAACTATGCAGGAAGCTGTCACTGATTCGCTCCTCGTAACGTCACACAATGGGGCGAAGAATCAAAATTTAGCAGTTCAAACGATCGAAAAAAATTTGTTTTATTTAAAAAAAAAAACTTAACCCCCTGCGTTATTGTTTGCCTCATACGCTTTCGTATTATCAAACTCGGCGAAAAATCGTGAAAAAATCTCGAAAAATTGCATTACCTTCGTGAAGATCCCGAGAATACGAACGTCATCGAATAGGATCCATGAAAATTGATAAAAATTATATCCTTCAAAATTTTTAATCGCTTGCGCCATAAGATCGGCTGGTAATTTTTGATTCTTGACCACGTGTGGCGTCACACACACTCTCTCCCTCTTTTTTTTCCATCCAGATGATGGTATGTTTCGTTTGTTTCCCGTGCGGTTTCGATGTCAGCATGAAACGCGTTGGAACGAGTGCACAGCGGTAATAAATTCGCGCACGTTCGGAGGATCGACCGTTTTTTTTTCAGGCTGAGTGCTGGCTCGAGAGACGATTCATCATTACATTCCCCTGAGTTTGTTTTCAACATCGCTCCCTAATTCTTTCTATCTCTCTTCATTCTCTCTATTTTTCTCTCACTCTGTCTTTATGTATTTACTGTTACGTGGGAGAGAGGGAAAACTTGTTTGCAAAATAGACGACGCGGGAGAAAATAGGGGAGAATGCGAGCTTGGTGTGTCCGTCTTCTCGTCGGCGAATCTTCTTCTTGCAAGCGTTGGACCATCGAAGTGGAAATTTTTTTATAATTTCCTCATTGGAGAAATGTGATCTCCAGTTGCGATTGCGTGCATCAGCAAAAGGATCTTGGAACGTCGAGGCTTCCTTTTTGCGAGATGACATTCAATGTCCTTGAATTATTTCGACGGTTTTCCATTCGTGGATCGAATGCTCGAGGCTTCTCGAGTCCAGATAGTTGTGTCTGTGTCGAACAGAGGAGCTTCGAACGTATATTTTTGTTTAAATACGGTTTCCTTTAGCAGGGCTGCAGTTCCCTGATGTTTCAAGATTATATTTCTTAGGAGTTAGTTTCAAGGTTATATTATATTCCTTGGAGGTACCAAGGTTACTCAGTGGCTCGAAAAGATTTTTATCTGTGTGTGATTTGGAATCGTAAATGAGGAAAATTGAAACATACTTTAAGATTATCCTGCAACTTAAGAATATCCGGGGACGTAACAAAAAATAATGGATTTCCAATGTTCGAAATCGGTAAGAGAAGTTTTGCTTGGAAATCACAAAGGTAAAGAAAACCTACGATATTTCCGGGAGAATTTGAAATAAAAGTTACTAATTTGAATCCCGAAATCCGTAATTTCTTTTTACGTTCAGAACCCCTGTGTCCGTCGTCGCTATATTTCTAAGTGTATATTGATTATTCGTATAATCGTGTTACCACATAAATAATACGAATGGCATTCATATTTTTCCAATTCTTCTATTTCTCTCTCTCCCTCTCTCTCTCAGGCTTGTCGCTTGCAAGAAGAATGCTCGCCAGAAATGAAATGAGCTTTCGTTTTCTTCGTATATGTATAGAGTTCTCTCTTCGTATGTGTGTGTGTACATGAGATCTCGTGTACACGCATTCATACACGGGAATATGTCATATATTATATTTATATTTATATTTGTATTTATATTTATATTTATATTTATATTTATATCTATATTTATATGTATATATACATATATGTCGGTATATATATGTATATACATATATGTGTGTGTGTGTAGCCGTCATATATATATCGGTATATACATATATATATACATATATCGGTGAACGTATAAAGAAGTAAACTCGTCAGACTTATGATCTTATGCATAGGTCAGAGGTTCATCGTCAACAAAAGAGAATTAGCGTCCTCTTGCCCATCGCAAAATTGCGTCCGCCAATACGTCAAGGTGAGCTTTCGTCTGAAACAGATAGAACAATATTTTCTCATTGTTCGTTACGGGTGAAATCATCGGGAGTATTATTATTATAAGACCTAACGTGTCAACAATGATATTCAAATTGTTAAAAAAAATTCTTACACGACGAGAAACCTTGATTATTGGACAACACAATCAAACTTTAAAACATAGAATATATTGTACCAGTTTTTTGAAATAAGACTTTCTTTAAAATCACTCATTTGTTACTCTTGTCCCTTGTCTTTCCTCTTACTTGGAGTCTGGACGTCTCGTATCGTCATTACGTTATTTTCGCGCGAGAGGTTGAAGGGAAAAAAAATAGAAAAAGAAAACAAAGAAACCTCTCTTCTTCCGCCGGTTAAATTAAGCAGACGAGGCTCTTTTCAGAGATTTACGGCTCTTGCCAGACGCGCGGCGTCGGCGGCGTCGGCGGCGTCGGCGGCGTCGGCGGCGTCGGCTGGTTGCGTGAATTGAGATTTTTTCAGAGAGCTCGCGAGGGTTCGCTCCCTGTCGCTTTGTCGAGCAGGGTTGAAAAGAACGCGGGAAGGGGATGATTGCTAGGGGAAAATTAACGCCATAGTAATGATCGGGAGTGTTTCCTTCTTTTCAGAACTCCACTCGGAGAGGATAATCGTGGTTTTAGTGTACGATAAGTTGGGGTAATTTTAACTCACGGTCAGGGTAACATTGTTCCAAACTCAGAAAATTATCACTTTCGATAACTGCAGTTCTTTCGCAGGTATCTTTACGTTGAAATACCGTTTCACGTGAAAATCAGCTTGATTTAATAATTTCCAGAGGTGCAAAGTGATAATTTCCTGACTTTGGAAGGAAGTTACCTTGACTGATTGTGAGTCGATGTTACCTTAACTAACGGTATCGCTTGAAAACACCGCATTAACCCCTTAATGTAAACTTTTTGTTGTATCTTGTTATTTTGAAATAATTTTAAATTTCCCAGATATAAAAGGAGTTTTATTCTTAGGGCAAGTGTAACATGCACTTTAAATCTGAAATATTAATAGAAATGAAACAGTATAATAATTATTAATATAATAATAATAATAATTCATAATTATATTAGAAATAAAAAATATAAATAAATATAATAATAATTATTATTATTGGACGAGCAAAGCGTGTTGTTAATAGGCCACTTGCACTTTTGTGATGAGTACTACTCTTTTCACCTTTGACATTAAGAAATAATATTTCGCCCGTGTATACTATACCACCTGTAGATGTGCAGAATCTATAAATAGGCTCACCCCTTTAAACATAAATTAACCCCTAAATTTCTCACTAGCAACTATGCTTTCCCCGTTCATCTGTAATTTGATCTGGAAAACTATATCGTCTGAACTGGCTGTAACACTGTATCCAAAACGTCACTTTCGCTTTCCGACTAGGGCTGTTGATACCCGGTTACCTGGGTACTCGATCAAGGTGGTTTCCACAAACTTTTAATACTCACAAATTTAGTTAAAAATTAAACAGAACATTCTTAAAAGCTTCAACTTCTGAAAAATTAAAAAAAATTTTTAAGAGAAGAAAAAATTTTCTTTTTCTACTTATTTGTAAATTTGTTTCCATTTAAGTATTTTCAAGTAGTTTAAAATATTAATCATTCGAATCAAATTGGTAGGATTGATAAAAATTATAAAGCGCCATATGGAATCCCAGTTAGATACGATAAGCTACCTTAATCCGTTTATTCGAGTGCTATCTGTTATTCGTATAATACGGGTAATTGACGAAGTACAGTTAAACAAAACATAATAATTAATTAATTAATCATAACGATTTAATCATAATGAAGTGGGAGGTTCAGAACGGGGCCCCCTGGAACATGGGACCTGGTGCTACTAGGAGTACCTGGGTAACCAGTTACCCGGTAAAAATCAAGAGTCCTATTTTAGAATCGAGAAATAAGAAAGTAAGTGGGTCTGCGAATAGCTTGCCTGGGTGTGTGTGGGTGTCTGTGTGTCACACGGGAATTGCAACGGATTACAGGATCTCAGGTTGATTGAGCGACAGCCGAGATGCTGCGACTCGAAATAGATCACCTACTGGGTAAGGGATTGATTAGAGACTTACGGTTTTGTAAAACATGCAGGCCTGCCTGTCCTCATCCTCGCCTGTCGGGCAGTCGATGAAACCGTCGCACAAGGCGTGATCGTCGATGCAATGATATCTGCCTACTCTGTCCGCGGTGGGACAGGCGAACCTCTCCATTCCGTCGTCCGAGATCGGACATTCTGCAAGAAGAAAACGAAATTAAGAGAGAAAAAAAAAAATTATGGGTTTGTCCACACTAGTTACATTTTCAGTGATTTCCATCCATTTTTTATCTTTTTCCCTAGCGTTCCTCCTTCCCTTGTCCCCCCAACCCCTCATTTTATGATCCCTGACGTGGTCGTCGACGCTGGTTGCTGTTGTAACATTATTTCCGTCATCGGTAGGTACGTATAATATTTCTATTACATTGTTCATGCTTATCGATCGCTACTATTTTTATGCGAAATCGACGCGGCCCCCGAAGGATCACCGACGACGTCTCTTCACGCGAAATTCCCGGCGAGGTTGGCCGTTTGAAGAGCCGCAGCAGCGTGGCGCGCGTGCGGAATACAAACCCATCACATATGGGAGAATACCAAGGCTATGTAGTATTGATGCTTTCGTTTTATCGATTTTATAAAGCATTTTTTAGTACGCGCCGTTTCATAATCGCGTTAACACGTTCACTGCCATCAGGTGGTCACCGGCGACGTCGGAAGTAATTCAACTTTCACAATAAAATGAATTTGATTATAAAAAAAAACTGTAACAAATAAATATTGATATATTGTAACATAGGCTGTTAATCATCGGATTGTTCGGAAAGTTGGTAACGTTTTTAACCCTTTAACGCCCAAATCCTTGAAGTGGAACCTTGGTGTAAGCGGGCTAAAAATGAACGAATCTTTGGGAATTTCTTGTGAAGAAATTATTAAACAAATCTCTTTGAAACTTTCAGATTACAATTTAATAGAAGTCTTACGATGGCTCGAATATTCGAGTCGTTCGAGTATTTCAAATAATTCGCAATTTTTTTAAACAATTCGTCGATTTCACGTAGTCCAGGAAATTCAAACGCCTGACATTCGATCAGCTCAGCTTGCAACTTACGGGTAGTCGCGCACCTCTAGTGAACAGTCACGTTTTCGTGATCCGAAAAAGGTTGAGTCGCTGCGTTGAATCGACGCGAATCTGATCGCGTGTCGAATAACAAGATAAACAAAATCACTCGAATACCACGGGCAGTTTTTAGTTTCGTTCCGTCTTCGAACGGAGTGTGTGTTGCTCTGATATTCGAGACAATAAGGGGGATGTGCTCATTGGCGTAACCAGGGGGGGGGGCGTGGCAAAAATATTAACACATCGATTACCACAGTGAAAAAGGCTGTACGTAGTCAGACATATTTTATTTTGTTTTTAAACTCATAAATCGTTGAAAATGTATGGGTTTTGTTAATAGAGGTTGTTGGTCGTGTAGCAAATTATACTGCAATATTATATATTACGCAAAAATTTGATAAGTCTGGGGAGAGAGGGGGGGGGGTAAAATCCAATTTTTTTTCTTGTAGGGTGAGCCAAAGCCACTTTTTTCCGTCCAGGAAAGATAGTGCCCCCCTTGGATACGCCAATGGGTGTGCTAACGGAGCACGTGCACACGGAAATTTGCATTGATTCAAGTCGGCCGATCGTTTCGTAACAAAAGCTTTTGTTCGTCTTCGGGACGATGATCGAACAAAAGACCCGAGCAAGGGAACCGCGTCTTCGACCATCTCGTAAACGTGTTTTCGTGTACGTGCGTGTGGAGCGGGAAATCGACAAATGAAGTACATAGTCTGGATCGGTAATGGTCATTCTTCGGTCTTACTCGATTGAAATTGTCTCGTGTCTTTGACATTAGGTATACACATTTTTCAAATATTTTTCGAGATATCGCGCTTACAAATTTACTAATTTTTTGTGGCACTTGAGGCGCTAACAAGACCACCTCTGATGTTTCCTATTCGAGCAGGTTTTTTTTTGCGTTGAAAATCAGTAAATTTGTAAGCATTATATCTCGAAAACTATTCGAAAATCGGGATATAGATACAAGGTTACTGAATTTGTCTTAAAACACATTATCATGTGATCTAAAAAGAATATATATAATTTCATTAAAAAATCAAATTTGACCTTTAGATCTCACAAAATAATGTCAAAAAAAATCGCCACAGCCTGTTAATTAGCCCTCTCGTGCCATTCAATTTCATCTAAACAAAAACAGGTGAAACCATACATTTCGAACTATTGTTATCGTAAATAATCAAAGGAATTCAAAGGGTTTTTATTAAAGAAAAATTATTTTATCAAATTTTCCAAAACTTAAATGTGTCCGTCCTTCCGTGAGATAATTTCACTCTTTTTAATGTAGTCGCGACGTCCCGTGAATCAGGAATCATCGATCAATGTCTATTAGAAATAAAATGTTGCAGAATCGTTCGTGAAAGGGTAATCGGCCATTCTGTCGGTTTTCCCCGTGTTAATTATGTAATGGCAACGTGTTTGCCATCTTACGACACTGTTATGAGACCGACGAAATGTTGCGAACCGATTCGAACTGATATCACATGGAACACGGAACAGGGAAGAAAGTCAGTCGAGCCTGCATGTAAATAACTCTGTCAATCGGACAGTAAGATAATAGAATGGAAGCTTTCGTTTTCGTTTTATGGCACTGGATCGGACGAGCCAATAATAAATGATGAACATTCGACACGTGAGTGTATTGCGATAATTGAGATTTTAATACCCTAAAATAATAACTAAATTTTCACCGAGAAATTGTCGATCTTTGAACTGTTATAACTTTGCGATGAAGAAAAATCGTACAATAATTTGCCTCGGGTTATTTTGAAGGGCAAAGCCTCTACCTTTCATCTCTTATGTTGATTTTCCATCGATGATACTTCTACTCTAGGCACCGGGTGGGGAAATCAACGTGGTTTTTTCCCCGAAAATTATATCTACAAAAACTGGGGATGACCTTGGAAACTCTAGAAAAAGGAATAGTTGACGAACAATTGGGTACAATCATCTTAAAGCTCTCCTTGAATCATGTTACACTAGCTGAACAAATTTTCCATCGAACAACTAGCAGTAGAATAATCTAAGCTAATCACGTTTCACCCTGTGTGTAACTAACATAAATCTAAAAAATGTATCTTTTAAATTTTCATTACAATCTCAAATAAAATAAAGTTGCTTGTAGCCACCTTTATAATTTTCGTCCCGATTCCAACCAATTGCAACTTTTTCAACAATCTTTTTTTACACTTCATTTAGTAAACTAATCCCTTCAAAAGGGTGTGCGAATTTATTATTATTACCCACCGTGTGTCTGCGTTCTGTTGCGTAATCCTACAGTGAATCATTTCTCTATATTGGAGCAATTATCCTTTTCGGACGTTTACCGTTCATCCCTGTACGAATACCTCTGTCCTTCGCCGTGGTTGCTGCGTTTCACCCTGGTCATCTATTTACATAATGGGACCCGGTGACCTTGATCACGGAACGTTGAGTTTCCTAATTTTCCCCGCAGCCGATCCGCCAGAAGGAGGATATTCGAACATAAATTTCGATCACGTAATGACACGAGGTCACAGGTTTCGTGCGCGAGCCGCAACAGGTGCGAGCATTGTCGAACCGATGATAATACCACGGTAAGTGCCATTATTTCAACACCTCGAGTCGATTACGCCCCCTGTAACCTCGACTGGGCGAACAAGTCAACTGGAATCGAGGCGTCGTCCCCGCCCCCTGCCTTCGTTATACAGCTTTCCCTTTCGGCGGTGCAATCAGAACTGTAGGTACCATTCACGAAACGCGATTATCTACCGAATAATAATCGAGGAAATATTTAATTTTAAATGTAAAATTGTTCAGAGCCAAACAATCGAGCTATTTGGCTATACTTTGGCAGCTATACCCCCTATTTCTGATTTTGTTTTCGATTTTGTATCGGTATTATCGATCAACGTGTACATAGGATATTCCGCACTGGAAGGTTCGCGAATTTTATTTCATTATGCTGCCGCTTATCTGCACGTTATCCTTCGTATCGACACATCGTTCTAGCCTAGCCTTGCATGCTCTCTATATTTATCTGCGTCCGTCGAGCACGCAGTTTATCCCAATCGCTGTACTTTTCCGGGTTTCAAAAAAACGTCTCTCCTAATTAGGCTTCTAATTAAAAATATGTAATCCCACGACAAACACACGGGTCCCCAAGGTTGGGATGTATTCTTCCACTTTTTTTCTAATTACTGTCCATCCTGTCAGGAAGAGGTTCCCCTCGACAGAACAAGAAAAAGAAAACATGAAGGGATGAGTCAATGAAATGAAACATATGAGGCTGTGGTTATTAATACACCGTGACTCATCCACACCGATTCCCCCTCGGTTTTATTTGAATATTATATAATTATTTCACGAATATTATATAATTATTTCATCTTGCACGCCGTACAGTGGGACAAATAGCCTATCTAGGTGGATGACACCCTTTAATTCGATGAACTCGTAATTAAATCATTTTTTTCGAAATATAGATTTTATATGATAGTTAATAAATAAATAACAATCAAACATTTGTATTGAAATAAAAAGATATTCTAGTTCTGAATGTTTCGCATTAAAATAGATAAAATGAGGATTGTAATATAAGAGAAACAATGGAATTACCGTTCTTAAATATATATGTATTATAAATATTTTTGTCGCACAAAATAAGATCGAAGACTTTCACAGCTATAAGTAAAAGACGCGTGTCCCCTAAACCATTAGAATCATGTTTGACAAAAGGATAACCCAATTTACTGGCCAGTTCAAGACCTTCACTCAAGATCTTTCATCAACAATTGTTTCTTAGAATGTGAGTCGATCGTGTTTTATCGCACCAGATTGTGTAAAAAGAGACTGAAATTTTTTTTCTAATTCTTGTTAAATCAAAATCGTGTACAAAAAAAGTTTGTGTGAAAACAGAATTGTGTGTATTGAAAAATGCGCGAAGAAAGAAAAGGAATTTTCGACTTTGGTTTTCTTTTACCGTTACCCTAATCCGACGACCTCTTCGAACGTCGACACTTCATTTATCGGCCGATCACAGACCGAGCTCGACGGATCTGCGGCGACCGTTTCCTAAAGGTCACCCGAGCAAAATTAATCTCGTGACCCCGGGGCTGCTTATCATTCTTGGTTCCGTTTCTTCTGGGAAAAAAAAAGGAAATAGTCTGGTTGCAACGCCAAGGGCTGTGAGAGAAAGAGGGAGCGAGAGAGACCTCCGCGATTAAATTGTCATTTCCTGGTAATCCGTCCAGGAATCAGCGGGGTGTGCCATCGCGATCGCCTAACCCGATAAATGTCATTAAACAAGACGGGGCTAAGTACTTACACCCGCCACTTGAAAAAAGAAAAATCGATACGTGGCGAACATATTCATTTTTAAGTCGTTTTTCTTTTTTTTTACCAAAAAATGAAGCAGGATAGCAGATATTAGCAGCTAAATTTCTCCTAACGTTGATTAAACCCTATCGTTCCCAAATTATTTAAAAATTACCGAAGAAATATTTTTTTCTATTTTTGGCAAATTATCTATGCGTCTATTAACTACGCGTTCACCTATCAAAAAACTATGCACATCAAATTGCTCCTTGATACCACGCGAGGTTTGGTCTGGCACATTTTTTTCGATGACTAATAACAGCCAAGATATTGAGGTAGCCTGTTTTAGGTGCCTCACCCTGTGTAGCATTAGGAACCTGTATACAATCATCTTACAAAACCCCGTTAAAATCGAAGTCGGACAGTTGGGGTCCTTCTTTTGTCAGACCACAGTCCCATGGAACTGCGTTCCATGAGTATATCGAGGACGGGGTAGGGGTAGGGATTGGGGGTGGATCGACGGGGGTGAGGTTCGAAACTGGTGGGGGGCGAGAAGCGTGTGTTGATGCTGGTCATGGACGAGGGAGACGCCACGAAAACGTTTGTATACATGTATACACGCGCGTGTTCATGGAACAGGTGAGAGACGTCAGCTTTAAAATTAGTCCGGTGGGAGGGGCGAGTGGACAAGAAGCACCGATTATTTTCCGCGATTCGCCCCGGGGGCCCAGAAATTCCGAGCGAGTCGAGGGAAAATGGCGGTTACCGGTTCCGGGGGATGCCAGCGGGCGAGCTCTCCCTCCCCTCCAACGCTCGTAAACCCTCGAGTGACGATTGTTCTGTGTTTTGTATGTGCATACTATGTACGACTGCGCAATTAAATGAAAATAAGTTTAGTTCGCTCGGAGAGAACGCTAGCTTTCGCGTGAACACGGAAATTTCCGTTGAACGATATGATACAGAGGCGTTGAAACTGTTACGATGGAATAGAATAGCGTGTGTTTTTGCTTTGAGGAGGTATTATTTATCTTTGGTCGCTGGTTTTTTTTGCTGGTATATTTTTTTCCATCATGTTTCAGAGGAATGGAATCGTGGAACGATGTCGGGTGAATGGGAATCGAAATCGACGTGATTTTGATGACGGGTCTTTCGATGGGATGAATCGGATTTTTAACTTTCCTGTGTGAACCTCTTGAGTCTTTTATGGCACAAGTAACATTTCGGATACAAATAATTCCCAAAACGGAAAGGATTGTTACTAAAAGTATTTTCTAACAGTGAACTGTAAGAAGTATTGTATCCTGTTGTAGACACCTTGGGAAGTATCCCTGAATTTTTTGAGATTTTTTGGGAGCTTGTGGGATACAAAAATAGGTTTAGATATATAATTTCCGGGGGGTGATGGAAGCAGTAAAAATAATGTGGAGCACGGAGAGTTAAATAAGAGTGACTGCTCTGAAAGAAGTATAATTCGAATGCAAAATAAGTCTTGAATGATATTTTATGGAACGCTTTAGGAGAATTTAAGTGCTCTGAAAAATATAATTTGTATGTAAAACCAGTTTTACCATCTTGCCTGTGACATTTAATTTAAAGTTATAGGTTAATATGCTCTGATATTTGAACGTTATAATTCAATATATATTGCGTACTTCCATCAAGGTAATTGAATTGAATTAAAACTTTGGGAAGTTCATCGCGAAGTCCAGTCTTTGTTACAAAATAGAACTAGCGGCAGAATCTCATTAATTTTGCTCACAAATTGGCCCACAAATTCTGAGATGACCCTCGATCAACGCAATCACGAAGATTTTGAAAAGGCGTCTAAAAGACTCCATGTCGCCCCTAATTGAGTAATAAATTCTAAAATCATCCTCGACGAACGCTACCACAAAGATTTCAAAAAGCAGCCAAAAACACTCCATGCAGCCTTCCACATGGGGCACAAATTCCAACGTCGCCCAGCGACGCAGCACTATCACAAAGACTTAAAAGAGAACAATTCTAAAATCCTTATCCACCCGTACTTACCCCGAGAACCCACCCACCCCTAAAGAACGTGGCGATACCGACCGCTTCAAGGATTCGAAAAGCGTCAAACCGAATGAAGCTTTATTCACTCACCGATTTGCGGCACGTCGTATTGTATGCTTCCCCTTGTAGACCTGAGCATCAGCTGAGAAGCGACGCTGATGCCGTTCCCGAGGGGCGACGGTGGTTGAGCTTGATGCGGTGCGGACTCGCCGGTATGATCGACGGTACGACGTCCGCCGACAGCTGGGATCTGGCTCCTCTTGCCGGGCACCTTGTTGGCGCCCTCCAAAACGTACGGTCTGACTGCGAAACCGGGTTTCTGATAGTCACGTGGCCTTTCGCCCCTGGTCAGATCGGCCTTCGGGCTCGCAGCATGGTTGTTCAGATGTTTCGGTTCGTACGGATCGTCGTAACTGAATTGTCTAGTGTCGTGGCCGGTCCTGCGACCGGTCTCGTCGTCGCACACACGGATCGGTAGGCTGACCGTGTTCCTCGAGTGTCTGCAATCGATACGCAGCTTCTTCCCTCGCTGCTGCTGATGCTTCGGTTGATGATCCTCGTGCGGGAACTGTTCGCCAGCTTGTATTGCGGCGGCGGTGGCAGCGGTCACGTAATCCGAGTACAGCGAGTTCAGCATCGACGGGGACAGAGCGAAGAATACCGTTTGCAGTTCACGGGGTTCCTTGATCATGTCGTCGATCAATATACCGGAAGGGGTCCACGAGGAGATTCGGGGCTCGTCGTTCAATAGCAGCCAGTTCGACAGATCGTCCCGTTGCGTCGCCTCCGGCGGATATATCCGAAAATGCAACAGGTTATTGCCGACGATCGAGCCGAGTTCGTTCTTCTTTCTGATCCCGGCCCCGTGCCGGTAGTCCTGATCCTGCGCACCCTGCATGATGATCACCGGACGATTCCCCACGGCCAGATCCAGGCCGTGTCCCACGTACGTGAGCAGCCAGAACATGCACACTGCCATCATATAGGAACGACGACGACGACGACGGGGGATCGACACGACGAGAGCACCGAAGACCACCACAACTACTACCATACGTGGCCTCTTCTGACCACCTGTTTTCCCGGTTTGTCCCCTCTTCTGTCCCCTACACGCGTTCCACTTCGCTGCCAAGTCGAAAGGCACAAACTTCTGTGCTTAGGCCGATGTTTCGTTAGTACAGCGGGAGAGGGGGGCGGGGGAGGGGGTCAGGGGTGGTGGTAGGGGTGGGGAGGGAAGGGTAAGGGAGGGCGAGAGAGTAGGTTGGGGGAAGGGAGTGAGGTGCGTTCGAAGGTAAAAAAAAATACCGCGTACGACGATGCGATGATCGGACGATCAATATCGATACCGTCCCTCGGGCTTCCGTCACATGAAACACGCGATTCTTTTAAAGGCGTTCCGTTACGTTCTCGTCCTCCTCCTCCTCTTACTCCTCTACTCCTCCTCTTTCATTCAAACTTGGTCGCGACGATTGCTGCTTAACCGGATACCGCCCTAGCCTCGCATCTCGACCACGCGCGACACACGTTTTGTGTATCCGGAAACGTTATAAGAGGCTTCGACGGACCGTCGTCCCGGGGGTCTCTTGGCCCTGAAATCAGGTCTGGGTTAGTAAAGGTTGTCGCACGGCACGAAGACTGTGTCATAAGTGCGGTGGAGATGTCAATGGTGCTGCGTGCGTCGTGGATGCTTCAAGGGTGCTCGACAGGTGTGCAGGTAACAAATGATACTCGGATCGACCGGGCACGGCGATTACGTGCTCGTGATCGAACGATCTTTCGCCTGGCACGCCGGGTCACACGATCACCAATCGTCATTCCAGTCGTTCCTCGCATGACGACGACACTCGGTTGCGCCCGATCGTGCCCACGTGGAGAACCACCTTTATCATTCGACGGCTGTTAGGTCCACCAGAATGAGGTTCCTATCCACGGAGGCTCAGAAGCTGGTGTGTGCGTTGTGACAGGCGGTGCGGTTCTACGTGCGATGGACACGGCGTGCAACGGTGACATCGAACTCACCGAACGACTTTAGTGCGCGGAAAAGTGGCTATGTAGGACGAGAGAGATCAACAGGTGCCCGAAAAATTGTGCAAAACCGTGCTCTCGTAGGGCGAGGAGGGACAGCAGGGTGGAGTGGAAGAAATTAATCAGGCTGTGGACAGACGGACTGTGTAATCAAGGGTCGTGAGGGTGCGTCGCGAACACGAAAATATATTAGGGTATGTAGGAGAGAACGAGACAGTACACATCGATATACAGAGGTGGAATAGAAGGCTGGTGAACACGAGACGTCAAGGCTTGTGCATAAAGAAGATATACAATACTTGTGAAAGTTAATCGACGTAGAGAGAGGTGCAGAGCCACGGTGACATTACATCTGTTACGTGCGCGTATGGTACGGAATATATCATACTTGCTTCAGTGTCCGGTCGCCGCGAGACCTTCCCTAGTCCTCTGTCCACGTTCCAACCGTCGGCACCTTACTCGTGCGACACCACCGATCACAGTGACAACTCGCCCCCGTTCAAACCCTCTGTTCCGAGCCGCACATGATCCTCAAAGAGCCCAGTTAGGACAACGAATATACCTCGACCGGCTTCGATGGTACCCTGTCTACAGCCGGCAGAGATCCACTGTGTGTGTGTGTGTGTTTTTTTTCAGGTTCGGTTGGTTTGTACAACTTCTCTACTGTCACTTCCTGACTCACACGACCAGAGTAGGAACCTGACCGGACCCGGACGGGGTTTGGGCGGATGATTAGAAAAAGAAACCTCGTCGTTTTTTCCCGATCACACGAACACAAAATGGTGCGGACGATCGGTTAGCACGTCCCTGACAGTCGGGTCTTCAAGATGCCTGTCATGCAGTCGATGATGATGATGACGCCCGGTGTCGTACTTCTAGTTAAGAGTAGGCTATACGACGGTTCACGCCGCGGACTGATGAACGTTCGGGGGCTGGACGGTGCGCGTCGATTGACGCCGGATTAAAGCCCTGTTCCAGGCGTGTTCGTTCGAGAGGGTGGTGGTGGTTTCGTCGGCTAGGAACATATACACACGCACACCTTACGTAGTCGCGTTATACCGCTGTTCTGCCCTCTTGTCGGCCGCGTACTCTCGGCATGCTCGACCGCGAACGATACCGGATGGTACACACACGGACAGAGACAAGCACACCGACTACAGGCGACGAGCTACTGCTGCTGCTTTCTTCTCTATTACATTCGCCGGGTCTCTGTTGTTTGTTCCTCCTCCGGCTTTCCGTGTTCGGCGGTCAAACACACACGCACACACGGGGCACAACCACAGATTGGAAAGCGACGAAATCGAACCGTACGGCGATCGTAGCTGTCGGTGGAAATGAAAGGAGGTGTTGCGGCCGTGGATGTTGCTTTGTTGGCCGAAGGTCGAGGGATGGAGGATCGAAGGGTTGGGACGGTGGGTTAGTTTAGCGAGTGAGCTGGCTGGCGCCCTCACGAGAACTAACTCCCACGCTGCGCGACAACAGTCACCCGGTTTAATATACCGCGCATCCTTACCCCTCTCCCTCCCCGTTCCCCTCCCTCTCGTTTTACCCAGACGCGTTTCCTTCGCGTCTCAACCCCCATCCCCCGGACCACGACTCCTGGCTAACCCGGCCCCGGCCACCCCCTGCAACGCCACACGCTTCCGTTCCGCATCGAATAGCGCGCGCCACGCAAGCATCGACAACATTGCACGTTTTGCGATGCATTTTCTGGCTTTTTCTTCTTCTTCTTCTTCTTCTTCTCTTCTGTTATAATATTTCCTGTTCAGTATCCACGTGTATTCAGGAGGTGGATTGGGGCAACGGGTGTAGGGGTGGTTATTATCGGAGGGGTTGGATCGATCTGTGATTTTGATCATGTATACCGGTGCGGTGGCCGCCAGAGAGCTTCCGTATTTTTGCCATATTGAACAACCACCGGTCTATTTGGCTGCTGGTAATCAAAAGAAATTCCGGTTCAGTTGTATGTCGAGAGAGGTTAATGTTGTGTATTATTTCTTCGTTTTTCGTTTTATTTTTTGTAGCTGATTGTTCCACATTTTGATCGGTGAATTTTAGGGGAGAATTTATCTCCGTTCGAGTGACGTAGAAATGTTGATCTGTTAATACCCAGTACCTTAAATCATTAGTTCAAAATTATGAGAGTGATAAAAATGGTGTATCTTGTTATTTTGAGGTCCAAAATATCGATATTTTTGGACACGTATTTGTTCGAATAATACATAATGAATATTACGATACAATTTACGTTACAAAAAGTTAACAATCGGCGATTTCAATTATTGCCTTCTATTGCGTATAGTTCGAAGTAATTGACTGATAGAGTTTTCGTAAATTTAATAAATGAGTTTCTTACTTGAAAAACATTTTCCAAGTAAAATTTTACGACAATATCGATATTCAATTTTTTAAATCATATTGTAGGAACAGAACTGAGGTATAAGTGGCGAGAGCTTTCTCGATACATTGTACATTCGACGGATGTCTGCCAGAGACATACGTCATATTTTCTCCAATTTAAAATATTAAATGTACTTCCGTTATTTTTCTACTGCATATACATAAATATAGCATTACGAACACACTGTCTCTTAAAATTATTCTATGTTGTTATGTCCTGTACAATACAACAGTCGAACCTGCTTTTTTTAAAATTGTTACAAATTTCCATCGTTTTACAATTTGTCGAAAATTTTATAATTTTTCTGTCTATGCATGTATGTATATGTATACATATATGTACAATATTGAACTATTACTGTTATTACGAATAAATAGAGCAAGGATGTTCTCACAAGGACCTTCAACGACCACATAGTGTACAGTACCGGATAAAAACTGTGACAACACGAGGATAAAATGTCTTCGATATACAATTTCTGTTGCATTTTCTGTATCAATTAACGAACATGAACCTCTTTGAACGTTATTTTCCTTACATAATTTCCATAAAATCCATACTCGTTCGTTAAGTAGGCGTCTGTAGACTTTCGTTGTGCATTATGACAAGAACTTCGGAAATGAGCATTTTTGAATCAGTCATTGCTTCTTTATAAAATTTATACAAACAATTGCATGTTTTTTTAAAATCACCAGCAAGGAATATCGTGACATACACACCAAGTGTCCTGTTGCCGAGTGGTTCGCAGTCTAAGTGTTAATCACAGTAAATCCTCGATGTGTGTTCGAAGGTTCCTCGGCACTGACAAAAAGGAGTTCCCAGGTGTAACGCTAACTTTTTAACGAGGTTTAGCACAGTGTTAGAGCTTGTAATTTTGAAGCCAATGATATTTGTTTCAGTCGCATATGGCCATTAATTTATGAAATAATTAATGTTCAGTGCCGAGGAGCCTTCGAACATTCATCGAGGATTTAAAATTTTAAAACGAAATTAATCTTTAACGAATTATTACGGTCAAGTTGTTAGAATTTCGTCCGGTATCTCCATGTGACTGCAATCGATGAAGGAACTGCAACGATTCGCTGAAAAAAAAGTCTTTACGCATGATTCGGATTGCTCCTCAAGGAATCAACTCTATCTTGTCTGCCCACAATACGACCTACACCGTTCGTATTCCATGGGAAAATACCAGATCGACTGTCCATTTTACAGTGGAATTTTAACCACCACCTCCACCTCTTCTTCCTCCTCTTCCTCCTCCTTCTCTTCCTCCACACGAACTGTACACAGAAGGATAAATTAACGAACCTTGGTGGATCGCAATCTTTTTCTATTCTTGCCGACCAACAATAACTTTCCCGATCACACGTACCTATCGTCGATTTCGTCGACGGAAACGAAGGACTGATCACAGTGAAGCGATCTTTAAATGATAAATTACAATTATTAAATTACTCCAACGATTCATTTCATGATACATTATGTAGTGCATATAATTTTTTTGTAGGTGGAGGCTTTTCTGTAAATTGACGAATATACCTTTACATAAATCACTG